GGTTATATTTAAATTCTCTAATTCTTACTGTTGATTCTTTTAATATGTTAAGTGATATTCTTTCTCAAATAATTGGATTAACTGCTACTATTATTATGAAACAAAATTTTAGTAGTAAATTTACTTATGGATTTACTCGAGCAGAAGTCACTGGAGCATTTATTAATAGTGTCTTTCAAATATCAATTGGGTTGTTTATGTCAATTCAGTCTATTGAAAGTTTCTTTGAGTTAGAAGAAGTAAAAGATCCATTATTTCTTCTTGCTGTGTCTGGAGGGGGGTTAGTTGTAAATATTATTGGAATGATTATTCTCCAAGAATACAGTTGCATTAAGAAAGTAAATAAAAAAATAAATTCACTAAACAAAAAAGAAGAAGGAAAATCAGAAAAAAGTGAAATTGAACTAAAAGAAATAAAAATTCAAGAGAAACCTCAACAAGAATTAACTCAAGTAGAAGACCTGTCTAGTGTAAGACGAATTCATGGGACTAAAAGAATGCTAGTAACACCAACACTACCAAACGAGAAAGAAAGTACTATAGGACCACAAAACATTGAAGAAAATAAAAACACTTCAACTAAAAAGAAAAATATCAATATTAAAGGTGTTTTTATTCATGTCTTTGGAGATGCTTTAGGGAGTGTAGCAACAATGTTTGTTGCGTTGTGTGTTTATTTCATAAATGGACATTGGAAATATTATCTTGATCCTGTTTCAAGTCTTGTAGTTTCATTAGTAATGATGATTACTGGTTTGCCTTTATTATATTCATGTATTCGAATTGTTATGCAAGTAGTTCCTAAACGTTTTGATTTAGAAAAAATTAGAGAAAGTATTTTAGAACATCCAGATGTTGTTGGAGTTCATGATCTTCATATTTGGCAATTAAACAATAAAATTGGTGTTGCAACATTAAAAGTTGAATTAAATGAAAAAATTATTTCACAAGGAAGTGTTAGTGATGATATAAGAAAAATATTAAATAATAATGACATTCAATTAACGACTATTGAATGTATAAATTCAATTCCTAAAAGAACACCATCATCAAGAGAGTGTTTCTTTTGACTTAGTTTATTCTTTAATTATACATATCATTAAACATATTCAATTATCCTTTTTTTATTATGTTTTGTTGGCTAAGCATTTTTAAATAAAGAAGAAATCCATCATTAGGTCTTATTGATGGTCTTTTTTGTTTTACTAAATTATAAGCCTCAGTAAAACTCATTTTCTTTTTCAAAATCAAATACCCAATAACAACTGTTGCACTTCTCGAAATACCAGCATTACAATGGCAAATAACTGATTCTTGTTGGTTCAAACATATATCAATAAAATCAATACATTTATTCATTAATGGTTTGATATTAAATGAAGGTAAATCTAATAATTCAATATTTTTATAATCAAATTCATTGGGAAATAGAGAAGGGATTAATGGAGCAACACATAAAATATGTTTAATTCCAAGAGAATGTAAATATACCTTATTTGTTACACAATCTTGACTTCCAAGATATAAATTTGAGATAATCTCATTTGCAATAGTATCAGGTGATTTATCAACTACAAAACCAAATGTTTGTTGTTGACTACCTCCAATTATTTTACCACTTTTTTCAAAGTGAATTTTTCCATCAATAGTAGTTACTTTTGTTTGAGTTGATTTTAAAGAGTTTCGTTGTTGTTTTAAACTATCATTGTCCATACAAAAATAATAAAACTTAAAAAGATTAAATAAAAAAGAGGTGAAAAATTAAAAATAAGTTCAGATTTCAATAGTTACTATTTGATAAAAACTCAGAAGTGACTGTTAAAGAAAGTTTCATCATTAATCACTGGATTTGCTGATCTCCCTATATACATAAGATCTTGTTCTTTTTCTTCATCAATTTCTGTTGTAAAATTTTTGTTTTTAAATATTTCTCTTACTTCAAAGTCAGCAAGAAGTGTTGAAGTACTTGCTTGTGAACAATCCCTAATAATTATAAGTCCTTTCATTTTATATTGGTTTAATAATTTTCCATTTAGAATGAAAAAATAGATTAATCAATCTCTTTTCATTTTATTTTAAATTCCAAAAAAAAAAAGATTTTTAAAAAACAAACATTAAAGAATTATCACAAGTAGGAGGTGCTGTTTCAATTCCAATTGCTATTGGAGATGCAATTTCATCATGAACACAGCGAATAGTTATTCCGTTCATTTTATTAACAACTATTATTTATTAGTTGAATATCTCTTTTTTTATTTCCCAAAAATATCTTTTATCACATCGCAATTGTTAATGATTTTAATCTTCTTTAATCTTTTTTCATTTTTTTCACTATTTTTAAACATGATTTTTTGTTAAAATCTAAATATATTAATCTTTTTTAACATTTATTGTTTTTATAGTTTAAAAGTTGTTTGTCGATATTTTTTATTAAATTTTTATTCGAACAACACAACAAGAGTAACAAAATGTGTTATGTTTTGTGATGACATCCTAAAAAAAGTGAATGAAAAGAAACAATCAATATACCAAGCAGTAGTAGGAGATCTAGGTTAATAAATAGCAGGTCTGAGCTTTTTCATTAAGGTACAAAACTCAGCATCAAAAGGTCTATAACATTAGTACAGTGATAAAAATTTTTCAAAAAAATTCACTTTAATTTGCACAAAAGATTCAAAAAAAAAAATAAAAACAAACTCGAGTTGGTTTGTCATTTCATCAAAAAGTTCAGCACTTTGAGGAAAAACCAATAACTTCTTTATTTGAGAATGCATTCCAATCAGAATTGTATGTTTGTAGAATTGGTTATCTAATAAAAGAGAACCAAAATTAAAACATTCTTGAACAGAATGATTTTTTACAAATTGATAACAAGAGTGGTGTAATTGAAGAAGATTCACATTTTTATTTTGGACTCCTTCTAAACACATTATAATAAAAGGATGACTATCCCCAATAATAGAAAATACTTCATCCACGTTTCCTTCTTTTAATTCATAAGCAAGTTTACCTGTTATATATTTTTGAATTGAAGATGAAATTTTCTTTTCAATATCTGAAGGATTTTCTAATATTCTTCCATGATAAATTGAATGGATTATATCATTAATTAAATTGACACTAACATTTTCAAGAAGTTGTAATGTTGATAATAATGCTTTTTCTCTTCCCATCATTACATCAATAACTCTAATAAATGCTGCTGCTTCATTTTGATATCCACTTTTTAATACATTTTCAAATAATTCTATTGGACTTGGAGTAACTGAAAATAATTTTGGCCATAAACAATTATCAATAATTCTTGAAATACGAATAATTAAAATTGGATACATGAAATGTTCTTTAAACACATTATGTAAATTTTTAAATTCTTCTTTTGTGATTTCTTTTTTATCAAAAATATCCAATGAAAAGATTAACAATTCTCTTAATGTATCAGCTGACATTTCTTCTTTTTTTCCTTCTAATAAATGTAATAATATCAAATGAGATGCACAAGGAATTGGAACGATATTACCTTGATCAATACAAAGAATTTCATTAGTAATTGTAAATTGTGAACCCATTAATTTTGGTATTTTATATGTTTGAAATAAAACAATAGCCGTTGAAGGTAAGGTGTTCATTGATAATGAATGAGAACCATGTAACATTAATGGTGGATATGAAATAATAATATTGTTAAATGATAAATAATTTTGAACTTTATTTGAAATAATTTCACATCTTTCAATTTGAGAAAAATCATCAATATTATAAATGGTTGATGTTAATAACCCTGAATCCCACTGAATTACCAAATGGTGTGGTGTAAGAATTTTACCATTTTGATTATAATGTAAATAAAATGAAATTGGAAAATGTTCTGCTGTAACAATATCAATATCTTCGTTACAAATTTTAAGTGAAAATAGCATTGAAATATCAAATATTCCTTCTCCATCAATTTTTTTAAAAACTGTTAAACGAGGAGAAGTTGTAGATATAATAACAAAATAATAATCTTCATTTGATTGTATTAATAATTTACTATTTCCACTTGGAAAATCATCGAAAGTAGGTGAAAATGGGTTATCTGGAATAATATAATCTTGTATCATATAAGTTAATGGTGATGATACTAGTGATTGTTTAGAAGTAAGTTCATGACGGTCATAAATTGTAATTGTATTTTCATAAAGATGTTCAAATTCTGGATATGAAACAACACTTATATGTAATGAAATATGGTCATTAACAAGTTGTTGAAAAATAACTATTTTTTCTTGAGAAAATGTCCAACTAATAGCAATTCTTTCTGATGGTATTTCTAATTGAATGATATTAATTGTATCATTTACACTATTTTTACTGAGTTGATGAACATATAAATTATTCTCACGTAACGCTAAAATAATAATGTCCATTCCATATCTGTAAAATGAAATTCTTTCAAATCCATTTTCAATTGCAGAATCAAATGCATTTGAATATTTATAATATTCAATCCCATTTGAAGTTATTACTCCAATCTCTTTCCCAAACACAACCTTAAGTCCCATCATATCATCACAATTAAGACTTTCTTTAACCTCCCATCGAGTAAATACATTAGACTCATATGCCCACAATGATCCTCTTCCAATACTAATGATTCCATATTCTAGTTTTCTTTCATTAAATAATTTCCCAATACAATTCCAATATCCATCAAATATCGTAATCCCAAGATTTTGATAATTAACAATAAGACTTCCATTTCTTGCTATTTTAATATCCACAGGATTAAAATCTCCCATAACACCAAATTGCCTTAAATCAATCTCTCCTATTTTACTAAATTCATTCAAAGCAGAAAATACTTCAATACACTCAGCTCTACCACAAAAAATATATATTTTTCCTATAGCAATAGATGAACACTTAGCAAGGATTTTATGATTAATTATTAAATTTTCACTAAATCGAATAAAATGAGTATCTTCATTTCCTCTAATAACAACAACATTTTTATTTGCTTTTATTTCTCCTTGTGGAAGATTTAACACATAGGTCATTGGCCGAGGTTTTAGAGTTGTTAAATTACCATTCTCGTGTAATAAAAAAATTTGTTGTTGTCCACAAGCAGAATATATTGTTGCAGCAAACTTTTTAGTATCCAATAAATATGGAAATAAACAACCTTTTGTATTAGTAATAGAAAATAATGTTTCTTTCTTTACAACAGAAAATTGGTATTGACCATTTGGTGTAATACAAGTAAATGTTCCTTTTGATGAAAATATATGAAGTACATTTAATTCAATATGATTTGCTGGATGTAAAATACCATCGTCTGGTGTAAATAACATAAGTGATTGATTTGTATGAATAATTAAAGCCTCTCTGGATGGTGTTGTTTTGAGAATCATAGAGTGGATATGAAGTACTCTTTCTCCAATATCAACTTTAAATTGAACTCCTTTATTTGTTAATAAAAAACTTGCCATCTTAACTTCTCTTTAACAAAATATTTCCATTTTTTATAGTTCTTTTTCAACTAAATTTATTCCTTTTATATTTTTTATTAAAAAAATGTATTATATATCAATATTTATTTTTAATATTTTTTTTTTAAAATATATCAAATATAAAATAACAAAGAGAACAAATTATGTAACTACTGATGGTTTTTCTCTTCCTGTAAATTTAGTAATTTGAGAAACAGCATATGCTACTGTCACCATATCTGCTAACATTTTATTTTGATCAGCCTTATAATCTTTGCTATACTTATCGAAATAAACTCTAATTGTAGCTCCAACTGAACCAGTTCCTGATAATCTAAAAATAATTCTTGATCCATCTTCAAAAACAAATCTAATTCCTTGTTTGGATGTAACACTTCCATCAACTGAATCATGATATTCAAAATCGTCACAGAATTTTAATGGAACTCCATTCAAATCACATTTAACAGTTTTAGCATTATCTCTCATCATTTGCATCATATCTTCTGCAGCTTTCTTATCAACTTCATCAAAATCATATCGTTGATAATAATTTCTTCCATACTTAGCCCAATGATTTTCAAGTATTTCTTTAACTCCAACTAATCGTTGTGCTCGTTCAGACTCAGCTGCTAAAATAGAAACCCAACATAATGCAGCCCAAATTCCATCCTTTTCTCTAATACCACAACACCCAGTTCCAAAAGACTCTTCTCCACATAAACTAATCTTTCCAGAATCCATTAAATTACCAAAGAATTTCCATCCTGTTGGTGTTTCTGTAATTGAAGTAACATGATCAACTGCAGCAGAAGTTGGCATTGAACGTGCAACTCCTTTAAATCCATTCTTCACAAAGAATGGAATGTCATTATATTTAGTTGATAAAATAGCAAGTGAATCTGATGGACTTACAAATGCACCTCTTCCAACAATAAGATTTCTATCTCCATCTCCATCAAAAGCAAATCCAATATCATAAGGTGAGTCCTCTGGAATTACTGCATGAACTAACTCAGCAGCATAAGTTAAATTAGGGTCTGGATGTTTTCCTCCAAAATCTGGCATTGGAATAGCATTTTTCAATGAACTTTCTGGAAGACCAAGAAGTTCACAAAATACTTTTTTGTTATAAATACCAGTAACAGCATTAAAACCATCAACTTGAACTTTTAAATGGTATTTAGAAACAAATTGTTTTAATTTTTCAAAATCAAAACATTCATGTAAATATGCAATATAATCCTCTAATGGATCAATAACATGAACTATTGCCTTTTTTCCTTCACATTCAATTTCAATATCTCCAATAGTATCAATAGTTAATGGTTTATTTAATTCAGCAATAACTATTTCTTTAATATTTCTAGCACTTTCTTCAATTTTAGATGTAACTTCAAGAGGAGCAGGACCTCCATTACTCATATTTAATTTAAGTCCAAAATCACCATGGTCCTTTCCTGCTGGATTATGGGATGCAGTCATAATAAATCCTGCTTCAGCTTTTCTTCTAATTATTGTAGCAGACTCAGCTGGTGTTGACATAAATCCACTTTTACCAACAACAATATCAGTAAATCCACGTGAAAGTGCAACACGTATAATAATATCTAAAGCCTTAAGGTTAAGATACCTTCCATCCCCTCCAATTATAATTTTACCAGGTTTTTGAAGGTTACTTGCAGCATTAAACATAGCATTAACAAAATTTTCAAGATAATTGGGTGTGTTTTCAACTTCAGAAGCTCTCTTACGGAGTCCTGAAGTTCCCATTGTTTGCCCACTAATTGGTGTAGTGGGGTATCTTTTAACTGTAGCTTGCATTATGATCTTGTAGAGTTACAATCTTCTCTTTAAAAGAAATTCTAATAATACACGTGGCACTGATCTGGTTCAACGAAAGTTCTTTATAATATTTATAGAATCTTTTGTTTTTGAGGTCTGAAATTAAAATTAAAATTAAAGCAATAAAATAGTTAGTACTATTATCATATGAAAAATTAGTTTTGTAAATTGAAAAGAATAAAAAAAAAGTAAAAATATTTGAAAAACTTAACAGAGAGTAAGATCTCTAAAACATATATTTGAATCTTAGTTTCAAGTTCATTAAAAAGTTATTTTTCTATCATATTAATTTAAGAAATACACTTTAAAGTAGTTGACAAGGTAAATTTCAAAAGGGTATTTAATTTTATGGATAATGAAATATTTCAATAAGGGTCATTTTCAATTATTTCTTTTTGATATTTGATTTATGTTGGTTGTACTAGATAATTTGTATTTTGTTTATTATGTCTAAAAGTTAAATAATGAAAGTTGTGAATGTTTTCAATAGAGTATTAAAAGGTTTTATTGTCTCTCATTTTGACAAGCAAATACATTCATAATGAAATGATAATAAACAAGTTATCTAAGCCTTAAAGAATGTAGTAGATAAATGTTATATACTTTTATTAATTAACTGTAAATGGTCTATAGTTATAATCTCTTTACATTTAATCAACGAGTCAATCAGAATACTAAGAACATAAATAAAAATCTAATTTATTTAATCAGTTATTAAAACTTGTTTTATGATTAAATTTTTTGTTATTTTAACATCAACAAGTTCATTATTAATATTTAAAGGTTGATGAAAAGAATAAAATATTTTTACATTTAATACTCTACCAAATTGTTAATATTTTTGTAGTTCGATGTCCATGAATAAATTTAGAAATGTTCAAATAGTCATGACAAGGAAATCTTTCGTTCTATGATAACTTTTATTATTGTAATTTCATCTTTTGTTTTATTTTTCTATTATTTCCTCTTACGATAATTTTATTTTGTATTGAGAAATTAGACACAACAGATTATTAAGAAGAATTATGGATATTATAGATCGGTAACATTTCTATTATTTAGAAATAGTCATTGTTTTGATTATATCAAAATATTTATTATTAAAATATGTTGATTAGATAATGATTTCAATTTTATCTTATATAAAATACTCAATATTAAATTATATTTTCATTTAAGTATTAATTTACGTAGTAATAGATTGTTTAGTGTTGTATGATATTATGTAGTAAGTTTCATTAAACAGATAGTATTCATTTTAAATCAATTAACTATTTTCCATAATTGTATGATCCATTTTTAGTAATAAAGGTTTAAGTTATTTTTTTTTAACATTTACAGAGTTTGGTCAAATGTAATATGTTCAATTGAATGTATATTTGTTTATTTTATGTATGACACGGAGGTGTAAAGATATGAAACTTGGATTAGAATTAAAATGAATTGATATTATTCACAACTCGTTTATTAAGAAGAATGAAAGACACAACAAAAAAACCTTACAAACTATGAAATAAATATTTTGTGATAAGAGATTAAGTTGTGTGGAATATATGTGTTAAAAAAAAAGTGTTGATTGACAAAACAGAGATCAATTCTTCCAATAGTCATATTTAATTGGACACAACTTGTAAATGAATCACGTCCAATATGTTAGTGATGTTAGAAGATGGACTTTTCTAATTCTAATCAAAACAAGAAACAACAATCTCTTTCTATTATAAAACAATACGTTCTCTCTAAGAAAATACAATTTGCAAAATAATAAGCATCAATACAATTTA